GATCAACTGGGAATGGGACAAATGAGCATTTAAGGAAAAGCCTGAACGAGAGCCCCCAACTGTGTGTTAACGATTCCCTCATTTCCGGGGCTGCACAATCCCAGTTCAAGCAGGGCCTTAGTAAAGGAATTCATTTCCCCGAGGTCTGACGTGCAGGGAATTCCCTGGAAGGGAAAACAATGTGGGATCAGCTGTTGGGAAGCCTTCAGTGAGCATCCTGTGGAACACCGGGATCATGAGTTGGGCAAGGCCTCCCTTCGCTGTTCCTCCAGTCTGGAACACTCAGATCATGAGATGGGCAAGTGTCTCCCTTCCCACCTCCTTCATTCCCAGGAATAACACAAGGAAGCCACTCGCACTCCTTAACTGACTGCAAAGGAAAGCTCCTGTGCCCATGTGATGCTGGAGATGATGCCATCCATGGGTGGCTCAGCTGGAATTACAAAATGCTTGTGGCTCTCAGCTGACAAGAGCGGGAAGTGAAACAACAGTTCTTTCACTTACACCAGTCCCCTCCACGTTTTCAAGGGAGAATTACAGGATCTTGAAAGAACAGTCAGCACTGGATTAATAAAAGAGATTTATGGAAGCTCCAGTGACTTCCAAATTGTTTTGTCCTGGTGCCATTTTTTTGTTGAGGGACAGAATTTCCATTTAAATTTCCACTTCTGTCAAAAGGAATTCCCTGGGTGCTTCTAAATCATCCCAGAAAGCCTAAAACAAAAACGTGGACATAAATCGATTTCTAACAGTGATAATATTAGTTCTGTTCGTTCTGGAGGCTACAGAAATGTTCACCCATGGAAATGGCGCTCTTTTATTTATACAGGATACAGCATTCCTGGGATAACATTCCTGAGGCTTTCACCTCATCGACTTACTTCTCACTTCAAACAGAGCCACATGTGGAAAGAGCCTCCCTCACATCCTATTAATTTCAGGGAGTAAAACAAATTATTAACTGAAAGCCACCCAAAATGTTGAGTCATTTTTATAATTACTGCCAGTTTTAGTCGAATCTTATTTGTGCAATTCATGCTGGGAGCCTGAATTTACACTTGTTTTAAATGTTCATGACAAATGTTCAGGAAAAGTGCTGGATGACTGTGCTGAAAACAGAGATATCAACTGAGCTTCACAAAAACTCCTTAACAAAGGAAAAAACAGGGCTCATCAAAGCATGAAGGTTCTGGCACTGCTGGGTCATTGCAGTTACTCCAGTTAACGGCAGGAAAAAAAACCCAGAAACCAGAAATCAGGGAATTCCAAGGAGAATCTTTCTAGCAGAAAATGTTATTTTAAGGAATGACAGAATAACTGAGGTTGAAAGGGAGATACTGGTACAACCTCTGCTCAGAGTTGGGACAAATAGTTCAGGTTGCTCAAAGCTGTGTCCAGTTAAGCTCTGACCATCTCCAAGGTATCAGGGAATCCTGGAATATGCTGAGTTGGAAGGGACCCAGGAGGATCATCAATCCTCCCTGAGACACTGCCTGTGTCTGACCACCTTCATGGCAAAGCCTTGTCCTTATATCTAACCAGGGTTTCTTATATTTAACCAGGATTTCTTATATTTTATCAGGAAGGATTTCTTATATTTTATCAGGAAGGATTTCTTATATCTAACCAAGGTTTCTTATATTTAACCAGGATTTCTTATATTTTATCAGGAAGGATCTCTTATATCTAACCAGGGTTTCTTATATTTAACAACCAGGACTTCTTATATTTTATCAGGAAGAATTTCTTATATCTAACCAGAGTTTCTTATATTTTATCAGGAAGGATTTCTTATATCTAACCAGGATTTCTTATATCTAACCAGGATTTCTTATATTTTATCAGGAAGGATTTCTTATATCTGACCAGGATTTCTGATATCTAACCAGGATTTCTTATATCTAACCAGGATTTCTTATATCTAACCAGGATTTCTTATATCTAACCAAGATTTCTTATATTTAATCAGGATTTCTTATATTTTATCAGGAAGGATTTCTTATATCTGACCAGGATTTCTTATATCTAACCAGGATTTCTTATATCTAACCAGGAAGGATTTTTTCTCTCTAACCAGGAAGTTTCAACTTCTCCACCTCCTTTTGCCACCACATCCCACAAACCCCAAAGCCTGGCTCAGCCTCCTCCAGCTTGTGAGGGTGGGCACGGCTGCCCCATCCCTGGGAGTGTCCAAGCCTCCATCAGAATCCTTAAAAACAGGCAAGGATGTGGAAAGGCCACAATTCCCCTGGAATTTTAGACCTGTGGAACCAAGAGAGCAATGGTGGAACTTGTGCCACCCACGTGTGAGCAAAGAGCTGCTGCAGGGAAATGATGTAACACTGAGTTTCTATTTCAACCTGCCCTGTCATCACTCTCGGATCAAAAACAAGAGCCAAATTATACAATTGCACTTCCTCATGTCGAGCAAGCTGGAAAGTCCAGAAAAAAGCAGCAAAGGTGACTGAGACAACACAAAAAACCCCTCATGAAACCACAAAGACAAAGCACACCAGCTCTTGACACTGTTCTTCCAAGGCAGCCCTCAAGGACCACACGAGGCAGGAGGTGAAAGAACGGGTTTAAAAAAAGCAGAATTATTATTTTACACCTGCTGCTACTGCTTTATGGAAAATTTGTCAGCAGGCAGAAAAAATTAACAGTTCCCCAGTTCTGGCACAGGTTATCCCATCCCTGGAAGTGTTCAAGGCCAGGTTGGAGCAACCTGGGCTACTGGAAGGTGTCCCTACCCACGGCAGGGTTTTGGAACTGGATGATCTTTAAGGTCCCTCCCAATCCGAACCATTCTGGGATTCCATAAAATTAAGATCACACAGGTTTGCCAACAGTTTGCTGGGGTTTCTTTTTTGTTTTTTGGGGGCTTCTTTGCGTTTTTTTTTCTGTTTTAAATTTTGTAATGATATGATTATCCCCTACAATATCATTCAGGATGGTGAAGGAGTTTTTTAGCTCCAAAGCTGACTGTGTGTTTGGCACGGAGCTCCACGAATTACTCAGCTCCACAAAGTCCTTCTCACACCCCAAGGCAGATTTTTCTTTAAGAGATTTCAACTTTGAAACACGAGCATTCAGATTATGAAAACTTATCAGAGAAACAACATAAAATACTTCATTAAAACATTTTTACACTGTGTCAAAGACCTTGGCAGAGTCCTGAGCTCCTGACTCGTGTGCACCCACCTGCCATGAGCTGTCCCTCCTGTCACCTACAAGAGGGCACAGTTTGAAACCTCAGTTTTGGTTCCTTCTTTTTTTTCTCTCTTTACATAATCTCAGAACTATTTCAAGTGTCCAGGACACCTGGTTTGTTTGGTTGGGTTTTTTTTCCCCCACATCAACGTTGCCTCATTCTGAGCTGCTTTAGAAAGTCATTCCTTAAGGTGGTTTGCGAGGGGAACTCACAGTGGTGTAATTGGAAAAATTAAGACAGAACTGGTAAAACAGTAATTACCAATAGGATAATTGTAATTATAGGTAAAACAGGATAGAAACAAGTCTCAGTTCTGTTAAAAATGCTGGAAGTATTTTGTGTTTTCTTCCCAGGCATCCCTGTTTGACTTGAGATGGCTTTTGTGCTTACAAACACGGCAGAGCAAATCACTCTTTCTTTTCTGCACAAAAAATAAAGCAGCATATCCTAAACTCTTGAAAATCAGCAGGAGCTGTGTGTCACCAGGAATCCTGCCAGTGAAAATGGCCATTTGTGCCCCTTACAGAAAATGAAATGAGGCCATGGCGTGGGTCTGTGATTTATTTGTCCCAGGAGCAGCATTCCAGAGCCGGATCCAAGGAACAAACCCGGCTGCAGCTTCCTCTTGGGAGCAACCCAAGGTGTCCCCAGCCCAACAACACTTCTGCAAATACCTCGTGCCACCCTAAACCAACACTGTCACTGCAAAACATCCCCAGCCCTCCTTGCTTTTAATGCTTGAACCAACTTTTATTGGATTTTAGTGCTTATAAGCCACGTCTGTCCAGCCAAGGGATGTCAAACACTACCTGTCTGTGTTAATCCAGCTGGCACAGGATGCCAGAACCAACCTCTGACCTTCCAAAAGCACAAAAACCTTCGAGACAAATCACCCAAACTGCCACCTCTGACCAAGTGTCACCAAGTGCCAGCGGGCAGGGGTCAGATGGGATATTTTCACATCAATATATTGATATTTTCCGCCCCCAGAGGATGCAAAAGGAGGCTGATAATGCAGTGATTTGTTGTGATTTCAAATGCAAACAACAGACTTTTCAGCTGCCAGCTCTGATTGCACCACTTGGAAGGAGTTTTTAAAGGGCAAATTATTAAAGTTGGAAAATGTCAGTGTGTGAAATGCAACTCCACAAAGTGGGAACGACCTGATTTTACCATTTCTCTGTAACCCTCTTCATTCTGAGAGACGGGAATAACGTGCATTTAAACAATTCTGGGATGAGACTTAAAAAAAACCCACACAGTGAGCAATCAGATTTGAAGTTTTTAAGTGTGTCGTTTCCTATGACTTCAAGTGGCTGCTCTTGGCTTGACTTGGCCAAACGCCACAGGAATGTTCATCTGCTCTTCCCTAAAAATCAAGAGGGAAACCAGGATATTTAATAATTTTAGGTCATTAATCCCACCCTAAAGTGTTCTGAGGAGACACACATAGGATTAAGGGATAAAAAAATCCCCAGCCCAAGAGGAAAACACAGGTCTTACTTTACCAAATTCCTTTATCCAAGTGAGTTTTATCCACATGAGGGTGTTTTTTTTTTTTTAATTCCTTTATCCAAGTGAGTTTTTCAGAAAACAAAGGGATTAAAAAATCAAGTTGACAGCTTTGTTTTGAGGGCTTAAGTGGTACCAATACTGGACATTATTTCAGGCTCTACCTTCCCTCTCCTTGGAAAAGTCAACGTGGCTGCTGCAAACCGAGCCGGGATTTTGTCCTTTGCTTCCCAGATTTTCCCATTCCCAGCTCCCACGCCCGAATTCCCTTCCTTACCTTCATAATGTTCACTAAGTCTGTTTGATAGTAACGATCTTGGTGTGCATTGGCAGCTGCTAAAGTGAGGAGATAATCATTCCTGGCATGGATGGCCTTGGAATTACACTCGGATCGACGGGCTTTCAACTGCACCAGGAAAGGGAAATGAGAAGACAGGTAGAGGTGAGAAGTTAAACGACAAAACATGTCCATATAAATTAATTAACTGCATGTATTTGTATTAATATAATAAAAATTCGAGGGGATTAACAGCTGCACAGTTTTCTTTATACCATTTATATCACATCACATTATATATTATATTATATGTATAATATAGATATATATAAAGGGATTTCTGATGTATTTTTCCCTCATGCAACTGCAAGTATGGTCCTCAAAGAACAGTTTTAACTCTAATTAGAAAAAAAATTTAATTGCAAATCCAATCCTATATTTGTGCTCTGCCCAAAATGTGCTCTTAGCTCATCTCTTATTCCACCAATTTCCCTTCCAAAATATCCATAATTCAAGATAATTTGGCGCCTTTGCCTCATAAAATCAGCAGCAAAACACAAGTTTTTCTTCTACTCACCTTCACACTTGCCTTCTGTAAGCTTATTCTTGACTGGAAAAGACTAAGTTTGGACCTGGAAGAGGAATTAAAAGAAGGAATTATTGTCTTGGACCATTTCTTCCAAGTACAGGAAATACAGGTCGCTGCATTGTGCTGCAAAATTTTAATTGAAATAACTTTTTACACCCGAATTTTTATTTGTGTGAGTCTGAACAAAGCTTAAAGATGAAGGAAAACCTAAGAAAATATGCTGAGCTATTCACTGCACCCTCTGGAATATTTTGCACAGATTTGGGAACCAAATTTCAATCCATCCCAAAAGGGAAACTGGGTGGTGGCTGCAACTGGAGTCACTGGGGGGGTTGATGGATTTGGAGGCATTTGAACCATGAAAGGAATATTAATGCAAAATCAACAGCAATTATATTCCAGGAAGCTGGAAGAGTGTCCAGGTCCAAACGTGGATTTTTGAAAGCAGAATTGGTCTGATTTTTATATCTGAATCTACGAAGCATAAATTAGAGAAGGACTTTTTCTGCTGTTTCAAGGAGGGTGGTTTAAAAAGCAAATAAGAAAACAAAATCAAGTAAATAGGTCTGTTAATTCAAATAACACTCCAGAATGAATCCATTCCAAAATTCCCAAGCTTGGGTTTTTGGCTGGTTGGTTGGTGTTCCTTTACTTTCTTCAGGTATTACAGGGAATTTTATTGAAGTTCTTTTCATCAACCAACCCTCAGAAAGACAGAAAAAATCTCCAAATTGCATTCCCTGAGAGCAATTCTGAATAACTTCTAAAAATACAAATTTTTTAAAAAATTATAACAAGGGTGAGGCCAAATTCCAAATTGAAAACATGTGGGAGTTGCTTTCCTGGAAATAAGGAAATCAACCTCTTTAGGATGTCAAGGAACAGAAAAACCTCAAAAATTGAGCTTGAAAATAAAAGTAATGTCCTGTTTTCCCCCCTTCCAAATGGGCTGATCCCAGATTTGAGCTGTGTGGAGAGAAAATGAAACCTGGACACTTTAACATCACAAAAAGTGTCACTGGCACAGTGTCCTTTAAAAATGTGGAATTAGAGGAGTTAGTTTAACTCCATTCCTAAAGAAACCAACCCAAAGTTCTAATTCCATATCAGGGTGTGCTTAAATGGCTACAAAAATGTGTGTGTGTGTGTATATATATATTTCTTATATATATGTTT